TTTAACCCTTGAATATTGCAATCGAAATATCTCGTTTGTAAACACTATTATCTTCTACTCTGAACATCTTTGCAATTTAACAGCCTCAGTTAAATTAAACAGCTGTTTTATTTAAAAAAATTATAAACTAATTAATTTCAGCTTTTTCTCATTGGCAACAATGTGTGAAGGGGGAAATAAGGGGACAGAAAGAAATTTATTTTTTGTTAAATAACCAAGAGAGAAAAGAAACAATAACTTGCGATGAGGTGCTTCACAGACATAATATGTAGTGCCCTAAGTCCCAGATTACTTGCCTTTAGTAGTTCACACACGGTGCACCGCCCTTTCCAGTTTCCTACAACCGGTACTAACAACATTGAGGCTACGTGAACTTGTGGGCTTGCAGCGAGAGCAGTGACAATCTAGGACCTGAAATTATGTATGGTTTTGGTATTTGAAAAACATGCTGCTTGTGTTCAGCTAAGAGTTTTTAGAACGTAAAACAGCAGAATAAAGGCTGCATTAAGTAATATTTAGATTTTGGTTTAACTGTTATAAATTGTGAAACACTTGAGCTAGGTATGCGAAATTGTATATGGAAATATGTCATAAACATATCTAAATACTGAAGAGTGCTGTCTTCTGAGATGTTATGGTTTCTATATTGGCAGAAATTTACCGACGTCCTGAATTTTTGACCCTGAATATGTGGGTAGTACGTTGCTCGAACACTTCTGGAAAATTCCACCAGAATAATCAGCCTACTCCCCCAGAAGATAGCAATCCTCGTAGTCAAAACTGTCCGAACTTCAAAACTCACACATCTACGTATTAGTTATGAACCATTTTTAAAAATCAAGAATTATAAATATGGCGATAGTGCAAAATTCTGAGGTTATGTTGAACAGATGAAATGCAGAGAATATAACCACCACCACCACCACCACCACTTTGCACGGACCATGCAGAAAACACAGCCTCTCTTGTTGGGAAGGCGTATTTGCAGCGTTTTTGCATAGCAACGGAATTTATTCGATTGTTGCATGCGTATTCTTTGGCGCTGGAATGTATTTACCGGGTCGATGCCTAGGAATAAACATCTATTCTGATTTCACTATTCCTGCTTTCGGACGTCGTATCACAATATATACACACAAAATAAGCAACACGCTTATAATTATATGGCTTATACACCTTAACCACATTCACACACTTCCATTTTATTTCTTGCATATTCTCACACTTAAACTAACATGTTTCTCTGTTTGACTATACGATAGATATAAAATTGGATAATACATATGAAAAAGGGATTCATGTTCTATTAGAATGTGTAGCATGACGATTAAAATTTGATGTTTAAGCATGTATACCACCTGAAGATGACTTGAAACAGGGTCAAACACATAATTGATAAGGATAAAAGCGCTATTAATACTAGTTATGTGTTCTGATGACACTGTAAGAATTATAGGTCATGTATAAAACACAATAGGATGTTAAAATCAAATGAAGAGCACTTAAAGCATCTGCTGTGATCTGCGGAAGTTCTCAATGGTACTGTTTTCTGGGACGTGTGGGAACTGCCTACATTCAAGTAAACGTTACAGTGACAACTCAAGCGTCATTACTTGGCAACGGCGAGTAAACAGTTGTTGCTAGGTAAAGTCTACAACAATATGTGACTGTGGGAAACACCCACCGTGGATCGAGTGCTAGCCAGTTCCAAACTAGGAACTATCGCTGCATAGCGACGACTGAGTAAACAGCCGGTGCTAGGTAAAGCCTATAACAATACTGACAGTGACGTGTTTTTTTACAGGTCCGACTCAAGGTTAAATAAGGAGATACATTGAGTGGGAGTTTTTGGAGCTCCAGCTCAGACTTTCGTTTCAGTACAACGTTCAAGGTATTATAGTGTTCACTGTTGTTATATTATTAGTCTTCAGCCAATGACCTTCAATTCTCCAAGTAGGCAGCAAGCCTACTTCCTCCGAAACGTCAGTTAACTTTTACCGAATTATATTGTGTTACATCTAGAAGATAGTACTCGACATACTGATAACCTCAAAGGTAGTATACGTGAGTTTATTTGTAATACGCCTACACTGTTTTGTCAAATTTGTGGGCAGTCCGAATTTCCACGGACGACTTGGAGGAAGTACAAAGCTCTTATACCTGAGCGATTCGACGATTTCCATAACACTCTAAAAAGCCGTATAGAAGATGATAAAATCTATGATGCCAGAAATTTCTGGGGGGCGTTCTTTAATTCTTGGTGCAATTGTTTTTTTTCTTCATTTTATTCAACCTCAAAGGTTTATCACTACGACTCGCTAGGCCCACAGATTAATTAGTATCAATCATGAAATTAATATAGACAGTTAAACGAAAAATTATTTATTTAGTATGTCTCTACAGCCCTTTGTTGGGCCTTGGTCCCCTTTTCAGTTTCTTGATCCTATACACAGTCGGTGGGGCACGCGGTAGCGTAGTTGGTCGAGGTACTATGCTACAAGTCGAAAGGTCGCGGTTTCAAGTCCCCATGAGGTCATTGGATTTTTTCAATTGACCTAATCCTTCCTGCCGCACTATGGCCCTGGGGTCGACTCAGCCTCTAACAGAAATGAGTAACAGGAATTAAATAATTTTCCTGGGGAGTAAAGCGGAGCCGGTGCGTAAGGCTGACAACCTTACCGCCATCTTTGAGCCGATTGTCTAGATCAGTGTTCCGCAACCTTTTTCTACTCGCGGCACACCATGAAGTATCCATGACTCAACACGGCACACCAAAATGTTATTCCCCTCAAAAACGCATGATATCAGACAATTCATATAAATACGTAACTTGATGAACTTATTACTATAATATTATTATATTCTTATTTTATTATCATTAAACAGGAATCGACTCGTGCATTTATTAACAATTAATGAACTTTAATTCACTATAGAGTGTATAAAATACGCTTCTATTACTATTAAAGTAAATACAGTAATTCTACTCATATCTTCAATGTGATACTTGCGCCTGCGTAGCTGCAGACAGGCGTCTGATCCGTGGTGGAATCGTTGACCGATCGTTGACAACGCAAGTCTCATTTCTTCATCGATGGATTTGAGCCGCTCCATCTTTGATGTTTTAATTTCAGTTAACGTCGAGAAGCCCAGTTCACACAAATATGTAGTTGAAAATGGCAATAACACATTAACTGCCATCTCGGAGATAGCCGGGTATCCACTCCTTATTGCCAACCAAAACGTATCCAAAGGCATTTCGAGAAGTTTTAGTTTCAATGTTCTGTCTGCTTTTAAATCTGCGAGTTCCTCTTGTATATTAACCGGAAGATGTTCTGAATTCACAACAAATGGATCACGAACCCAGTCGAAATCTTGTACACTCTCTCCAAAATACTTATTGAATTTCTGCTGCAGCATTTCTAAATGTTCTTTAATTGTGTCCATCACCACTTTATTGCCGTCAGCAAGTGGCCATACAGTCGGGGACATCTCAAACGACCCATCTGTAATCCTCTAACTAGCAACCAAAATTTGCGAACTACTTCAGAGCACAGCTGTGATAGAACTGAAACAATTGTAAAACGCGGGATCTCTACTTTTCAAAAGGAAGAAGTGACACTATACAGACTTATTTTTGAAATATTTATAATTTTAAATGAAGTCCAGCAATCGGTGGGTGCATTGTTACAGGAAGAAAGTCATAAAGTTGAAGAAGCTCTAACTTCTAACAAACAGGGGCAAATACAGAACAGCGTTATAAAAGACAGGAAACCCATGCTAATCCCTGCAGTTTTAGGGAAAAGCACGTACACAGAACATGCGGCAAGCATACCAGAGAAGCTGCGTAGATGCGAGAAAAATAAAAATAAATCAATAATGAAAACTATGATATAACAACAACTGTGAGTAAATAATTTTCGTTTAATTTCTTAGAATACAACATTACTGTACATAAAAAATTCCAGCATGTAATAAAGAATAAACAAGCATCATCTTATTTAATCAGTGCAGTTGCTGAGAATAAATACAGGCATATGAAACACGGTAACTGGGATAAAATAAAATGAATAAAATTCGACAATTAATTTCTTACAATAGGTAAAAGTTCGCGTCACACCTTTCAACTTGTGACGGCACACCGGTTGCGGAACACTGGTCTAGATAATGTGGGACCCTCAATGTCTCACAACCCTATGGGCCTTCACGGCCTGTTACAGGGATAGCTTTGAAGTGGCCGCAGTACAAGGGACTTAGTCCCACCCCACTAGCATTAAAAAAATTAAATTAATTACAGCTTTACTTTTTTTCTTATACACAGTCGGTAGGACTCCTTGAACGGTGGATTAGCCCGTCGCAAGATGTCTACCTACACACAAAACAACACAGAATAAACGCACACAATACAGATATCTATGCCTTGAGATGAATTCGAATCCGAGCGTTCGAGCGAGCGAAGACAATTCATGCCTCCGACTACTTGGCCACTGGGATCGGCCTTTTTGAAATGAACATTACTGCCGTTAAACTAAAGTTTATGTGTAAGATTTTAGGCTACGCAGGCCATGACCCACTAACATAGCAACCCCCCCAGCTTAAGGGTTAGTGCCCACCCTTTAACCTTGCCTTTCTCTCCCCCGACACAATATCATATACAAAACCTACTTCTGTTCCAGC